CCCAGACTGTGACCAATGACAACAGAGCAGGAGGTTAGAGCAATTCCTGTGGACGTAGCTTGTGTGGTAGGCCTCCCAGCTCCACCAGTTTTCTAGCTTTGTGATCTTGGGCCTGTCCCATAACCTCTCTGGGCCTCCGTTTTTTCCTCTGTAGAATATCCCTAATATGAAAATCCAAAATTTGAAACGCTCCAAAAGGAAACTGTTTGACTGGCATAATAAATGACTTTTTGGCATGAAATTTTTGACTTTTTCACTGACATGATGCTGAAAGGCAATGTTCATTGGAGTATTTTGGATTTCAGATTTTTGGATTAAGCATGCTGAACTAGTAAGTATAATGCAGATATTTGAACATATGCTAAAAACCCACATCCAAAAGTCTTATAGTCCCGAGCATTTGGGATAAGGACAGCTCCATTGTGAAGCTGACTCTGCCTCAGAGGGAGATGTGAGGACCCCGTTTGCTCAAGCACGTGCTGCCCGTGAGAGGGCGCCTGGCTCTTCTAGTCGTGGCAATGGCCCATGACTCTGAGCCCTAGTCCTCCCTCCAGCATGCCCACTTCACACTGGTGGTCTGCTTGAATGCTCTGTGGGGCAGGTCTGTCCCCGGGGCCTCACAGCACCTGGCCCATGTGGGGGGCAAAAAAAGATGTTGAATGAATGAGTCAGTCTCTTCTGTGTATCTCAGATGCACCCAGGTGTCTCCAAGCCACAGCCCATGTCTGTGTCCAGGCCACGCCCTCTTACCGGGAATTAGCAGCCACCTACTCCCCGCTCACCCAGTAACGGGCACTGGTTAAATAAATAAGCCTCAGTCACCCGCGCTGATCTCATCAATCTCTTGACTGGAGGCCAGAGTTCCTGTTGGCCTCCACATCCATATCGTTTTACAGCTTACAAGGCCCGTTCCCTTTCACAATCCAATCCCAGGCTTGGGTAACAGGGCAGCGACTGGGCGCTCCAGTGTGACAGAGGCGTGTTGACTGGCTTCCTGAGAATCACACAGCAAGAGAGGTGGGAGATGGTGCACTTGCCCGGGGCCCTGGGGTGGGGCAGCCTCACTCTTGGAGCTGGAGCCGGACCCTCTCTTAGCCCTTCCCGTGAGCACTACAGGCCGACCACATTGTGCGCACTTAGGTTTGTTCAACGTGAGTGAAAGAGGGCAAGGTTAGGTTCAGCCCTTGGCTCTGGGACTGTGGGCACGCCCTTGATCCCTGGTGCCTCGGTTCCCCCATCTGTAAATGGAGTTAATTTACTGAGTAAAGGCAAATTTACTCAGTAAATCTGTTTCTACCAGCCCGGCTAATTTTTTATATTTTCTGTAGACATGAGGTTCCACCATGTTGCCAGGCTGGCCTCAAACCCCAGAACTCAAGTGATCCTCCCCCCCTCAGCCTCCCAAAGTGCTGCGACTACAGCCGTGAGCCACTGCACCGGGCTTCACTGTCTTATTTTCACATATGAAGCCCCTTGTGGAAGGCTCACAATTTCCCTAGGAGGATGTCCTACTGGAACCCCCATCTCCCAGAAAAAGGTACTGAGGGGACTCCAGACCTGAGTTGCCCAAGGCACCTGACCTCAGGCTTGCCCTCAAAAACACCGCGTGTGCCCGGAGAAGGCCCTGCATAGCGCCCGGCGCAGAGTGTGACTCCAAAACGCCGATTCCCTTTTCTCCATCCCTTTGAGCTTGCCGACCCTTGAGTACTGTAGTTCTTAAAACTCACATTGAAGTATACCGTGCGTACAAACAGAGTATGCGCTTGGCACAGCTTCGCAAGCTGAATGTGCGTGTTTACCCAGCACCCGGATGAAGAAAATCAAAACCATCCCAGGCCCCCGCAGCCCCTCAGGCTGCCTTCGATCTCTCTCCCGCAGGGGAAGCCCGCCGCGGCTGAGGGAACTGCACGTGGGTGGAACCGCGTCGTCCTTTGCGTCTGCCTCTCTTGCTCCACATTCTGCCCGTGACCTTCATGGACCAGTTGTCACCACAGAGCCTGCGTTCTCAAGGCTGTGTGCACCATCATTTTTTCATCGCTTTTGCTTCCGTGATGGGTCCCTCTGGGCTTTCCCCTTTGAAATGGAACACAGGGTTTCTCTGACTCCCGATGTGTCTCTGCGCCTCTGCCCAGGCCTGCTGGGGAGGCAGGGGGGAGGCTGGGGGAGTGTGTGTTCTGCCCCAGTGCCAGTTCCAAGTAAACGTGCTTCGAGGAGGCCCTGGCTTGGCTTTCCACCCTCTCCTGCTCCTTCCCAGACTCCATCAACATTCTGCTGTTCTGGGCTTGGCTTGAGGCCGAGGGGTGAGCTGGCGGGCATCCTAGGTAAACAAAGGTGGCAGGAGAGAAGAAAGTCTCTTAGGGGTGGGAGGATGGACCCAATCAGAAGCCCTCTCCATGAGGACTGAGTTTATGTGGGGCCGCTGCCCTGGGAGCCCTGGAACATGGTAGGAGGGGAGGGCTCGGGTAGAAGCTGGGCCTTCTCCAGACTAGGCCCTGCTCTGGGGAGGGCAGCTGCCGGGGTTCACGTCCCAGCGCTGCAGCTTTCAGGCTGTGTGACTTTGGGCAAACTGCTCAACCTTTCTATGCCTCAGTATTTTAATCTATAAAATGGAGGCAGTAAATAACTCGATGCAGGTAAGGATTTCTGACCTACAGTCAATGCTGGCTGTTAGGACGATAGATAAGTAGGCTGAGAGGTAACTAGGTCCCGGATGTGCACGATTGTGCATGGAGTGGACACCATGCTGTCACCATTTGGCAAGGAAGTGGAGGCACAGAGAGGGTGACAATCTGCTTGAAGCCACACTGTGAGTCTGTGGCAGAGCCAGCTCTGATCCAGGGTCCAGGCCACTGGCACCAGGCTATGAGCAGAGCTTGGGTGACCCGGCAGCCCTGACCTGCCACAGAGTGGTGCCCAGCACTGTCCTTGTAGGGCCCATACTCAGCCTTCACATGGGGCTTGGGGAGCAGCGCCTCAGGCTCATTTTCTCTGTCTATAAAATGGACATATGCACCCCAAAGAGTCAGTATCCTTCCCCTTCCTGGGTCCCTGGCTAGTGGTCTCCCTGGAGTGAGGCAAGCTTGGGGGCTGGTCAGGGAGGCCTCTGCACCTGCCTAGTGTTAGAAGCCCTGGGTGGAGCAGCCCTGCCCCTGCTCTGTGGCTGGGAGGCCGTCAGGCCTGGGAGCCAAGGTTGGCAGCCCTTGTTGGGGCTGTGCCCTGACCCTGCGCTCGAGGTGCTCCAGAACAGGGGACAGGCACAGAAACAGCTATTCCTAACTTAGGCTGCGAGTATCCAGTATCCTAAAGGGCTGGGGAGATCCAGAGGTCAAAGCAGTTGGCTGCAGTCCAGGAAGTCTTCACAGAGGAGGCCTCTTTGGAGCAGGGTTTTGCAGGTTGAGTAAGAGTTCATTAGGTAGAGAGGATAGTAAAGGTATTTTTAGCATAGGGAATGGCAATAGGTCCCAACTACTCCCTCCCTGCCTTTGCTTGCCCTCTCTGTATTTCAGGGGGCTGAAAGCTGGAAAATGACATTTCCAGAGCCAGTTGCCAGCTGGTTTCTGGTTCAGATCTGCCAGTGGGAAGGAGGCCTGAGGAGGGGAGATGCCAGTCGGCCTCTGACTGCAGCCTCGGGTGGCTCCTGCAGGCTCGTATTTCCCAGCAGCTAGGTTGGTTCTAGGGCTGCTGGGCGCCAGCTCGTGGGCTTTGCAGCTGCTTCCTAATTTCTAGGTCACACTCCTTCTCCCATCTGCTCCTCCGCCCCTTTGGATACTTCTGGAATGGACTTCCTCTATGAACTCCCTCTCTTCCTGAAATAGTAGTAGTGCGGTTTCTGTTTTCCAGCCAGTGAGTCACTGATACAATTCTCAAGCCACCAGCCAGCACCAGATTGTAGAGTAAAAGGAACAGAAGGGTTTGGTCCCCAGAACGCATGATGTTGTGTTTTTATTTTGGTTTATTGTTTTTATGTGCATGTCATGTCTTTTGACATGAGTTCCCCGAGGGTGGGGACTATCCCCATCATCTATTCATTCAACAGACATTCATGAATAGGGAATGAGATGAATGACCAAGTCCCCACATCCATGGAATCGCAGTCTGGACCTGCTTCATCCAATACGAGCCAGACTGGCTACTGAGCGCTTGAAATGCAGCTAGTTTGAATTGAGACGGGCTGTCAGTGTAAAATACACACCACGTTTCAAAGATTATGAAAATAAGAATGTCAAACATCTTACTAAGAATTCTTATATTGATTACGTGTTGAAATAATGTTTTGGATATGTCGGATTAACTAAAATACATTATTAAAGCTAATTCCACCTACTGCTTTTTACTCTTTTCAGTGTGGTCACTAGAAAATTCTAAATTCCATACATGGCTTGCAATTGTGGCTCATGTTTTATTTCTGTTGGGCAGCACAGGCCTTGTGGGAGCTGAGCTGGAAAACACTGACTTACCAATTCGTTATTTATTAGTGTCTATTTAAGAGATATGTGGTCCCTGCCTTGAGGGCTTCAGAGAGGATGGAGAAGGGGACAGATAGGCCAACGTGAAAGTAAAATTTACTGTGAGAAATGTTTGAAGTGGTCCATATTCCAGGACTCTGGGGTCCTGAAAAGAAATCACGGAAGGCTTCACAGAAGAGGTGACTTCAGTTTTAAACATTATAGGATGAGTAGGAGTTTGCCAAACAGAAAAAGGAGAGGAGGGGTACTCCAGGCTCAGGGAACTACATGTGCAAAAGCCAAGAAGTAGGCAACTACATGGGGTATTCTGGGCATACAGGAAGTGAATTGTGGCCCCCAAACAGATTGTTGGTGGAAGTGGCCAGAGATGGAGCCAGACTGCATAGGGCCTTGAATTTAAACCCAGTAAAATTTATAACCAGGTACAGGGCTGAGGCTCAGGAAAGACTCTTAAGCAGGAGGTGGGGGTCCAGGTGTGAGCGATCTCACCTACCCATCTCCCTCCAAACACTTAAAGGACCAGACCAGACCTGGTTTGAATGTGAAAAATAAACTATTTTATTTCAGTGTTTGCTCCTTGCGGTCCAGAAGCGCATCTGCTGCCTGCTTGGAACCTAAAAGCTTTTATAAAACTGTAGAGAAATACGGCTCTATGGATAGAGAAAATCTACATGTTGATTCATGGTGTGACTCTTCCCTGTGCAAAGCAGAAAGTTTAAATGCAACAGCGTGATTCTCTCCAAGCCCTTCTCCAGGATTTGGAGGGCCCTGGAGGCTGTGACCTCACATCCAATAGAAACCCCCCCTTCTTCCAGCCTGAGGGAGGCCCACTCATGTAGAAAGAGCTGGAGGTAAAATCAAAGCTGACAACTCATGGGCTCCCCAGCTTCCTCAGGGGCAGGGGCTGTGTTTGGGGGCCCTAGCCCTGCAAAGAAGGGGCAGCTGGGTGCCAGCCTTGTTGGTTAGTGGCCAGCACTGGCAGCGAAGGCTCTTGGGAAGCCTAGGCATTGCAGCGGGCAAGCTCATGGGTAGGGCGGGGGTGTCCAGGACTCTTCTCCCCTAGAACTAGGATCTGAAGGGTGGTACCCAGGCACAGGAGGGGACCAGGACACGTCTGAGGACAGAAGGTGGTCACAGTCATGGTTTCACTCTCAGAAACATCCTGGGCCCGTGCGCTAAGCCTTTGTGGAGCAGGAACGGACCTTGTGGTTATTTATACAAGGCTGTGCCATACAAAAGCATTGCAAGCATGGAGCGGAGAGGACCCCTGGAGATGAGCTGGTTTAATCACTCCTCTGACCAAGGAGGAAACCGAGGCCTGGAGAGGGGAAGGCAGTGCCTGGCCAGACATGGGGCCTGAACCCAGCCCAGGGCTCTGACTCCCAGTTCCCCAGTTCCCTCCCCACCTTCTTGTCTCAACTGAGCCTTTTTTGCTTTTTTTTTCCTCAGGTCCCGGATAGCCTCTCTGGCAGTTTCAGGTCGGGCTACGGTTATCAGTGGAGCAGTGGACTCAGAGTCAGAGGCCCTGACTCTGTTCTTGGGCCTTCACATTACCCAGCCTTGCTAATAATCACGAGGCCACTGGTGCGGAGGGGGCCGCCTCCCCTCTCCAAGCCTCAGTCTCCTCATCCTGGAAGCAGCTCCCACAACAGTTTCCCATGGTGATTAAATTTGTTGGCGGCCCCATGAGCCCCAGCAGGTGTAGAAGGCACCCAGCACATAGTAGGTGCTTCACAACGGTGAGGTTGAGGGGAAGGGCTATTAAGCTGGGGCTGCTGGGATGTGGAGGGGACCTTGGGCCTATCACTGTCCCCACCCAGCTCTGGCTGTCCCAAGGGCCCCTGGGGCTGGGTGCAGTCAGGGGAAGAGGTATAGGATGCAGTCTAGGGAGCTGGATTCCCTGATCCAGCCAAGGGGTACGCTACCCCTTTTTGGCCACTTTAAGGGGCTATGGAGTAGATCAAACAATATGGCGGGCAGCCAATGGCTTTCCAAAGGGCATCTGGGCAGGATAGGGAATGTGGGTCTTTCCTCTCTCACCCCAGTCCCAGTCAGCCCAGGTCAGGGCTCCCACTGTTTCTGGCACAGAGCATTCCTCACAGCTAAGGGGGTGGGTGGGGACCCACAGGCTCAGGGGGCTTAGATGGGCCAGGAGCACATTCAATCCCTAAGAGCCCCCACAGGCTGCTCACCTTGCTCTGGGGTCTGGGGCCCAAGAAGGGACATATGTTGCTCATTAGCGTGGGATAAAGATTGGGATCAAGGTGGGTGCTCTCAGCAGGCTGACGTGGGGCTGGGCACAGGGGTCCCTTAGGCGGGGCCAATGATCACATTCCGGAAGCCCTTCACAGCCTTCAGCTTGTCGCTCTCGAAGTCCACCACCAGCTTGTGGCGGCCCACATGGAGCGGCAGCAGGTCCACTCTCACCTTGACTTCCTCCCCTGGCTCCACGGGGTCTGGGCTGCAGTGAGAGAGCGGGTGGTGAGCGAAGGGGCCCAAGGCCTGGTTCCCCCCTGCTGGGTTCAGCCAGGAAGGCGCACAGCTTCGAGGCCCAGCATGGTGTCTCCATGAATCTGAGCTAATGCTGACAATCACCAATGCGCCTCATTCTCGGCCCTCTGCGGAGCCTGGACAATCTGCCCTCCTAGAGGGTACAGTGCGTGTGCACATGTGAGTCTGTGTGCATAAAAGCGGATGGTGCATTTGAGGGTACGAGTGGGTGTGCTCAGGTAGCCATGTGTGTGAAAATCCACTGAGCTTTACACAGGTGATCTGTGCTTTTTACTGTACATAACATATCACAGTAAAAAAGTCAAAAATAAGTGTGTGCTCGGATGTATGTGTGCAGCTAGGTATCTATGAGGAAACACCTGCACATGTGTGGACATTCGGAGGGCAGATGTCGGTCTATGTGAGGATGCAGGTGAGCGCCTAGTGATGGATAATGTCGCTGTGGAGGTCTGTGCAGATCTGGGCATGGGTGGTGTCAGCACTGAGAGAGGATGTGACGGTGGGAACTCTGGCCCCAGGGTGTCTGGGAGGGACACTGGGTGCAGGTGTGTGTGGGAGATGAGAGGAGTGGGTCTTGGTCAGGGCTTGGGGCCTAAGGACAGTCCCTACCCCCACTGGCATCTGCCCTCTTCCCCCTGCCCGAAGCTAGAGCGGCCAGCACTTACATCTCCACCGTCTTCTGCTCCTCGGTCAGGCCGGCCCCCTCCACAGTGAAGATGCAGCCTGCCAGGGACACAGTGAGCGGGTTCCGCAGGGACACCTCAGCCACCAACTTGCGTTTCTGTTTGGGCTCCCCGAGGATCTGGAAGAGGGCATGGGGCAGATGTCAGGGGCAGGTGGGATCCAGGCTGGGCCATCTGTATTTGAGGCAATTTGGCCCAATGTTTGCTAAACAAAGCTGTACTCAGCTCTGCCACGATCACCCGACCTCTGTGCCTCAGTTTCTTCATCTGGAAAACACTGATTGTGTCACCTGCCCAGGTCTCCTGAATGGAGCAGCAGTGAGGCTCCATGTGACCCAGGGGATGTCCAAAGTGCCTCCCTCGTCCCAGCATCTGGGGGGGAAAGATCACAGGCTTTTGAGCCTGGCTGATCTCTGCCCATTCCTCACTGTGTGACCTGGGGAAGTTACTCCCCACTCTGCTCACCTTGGTTTCTTCATGGAGAGAAATGCCGGGCTGAGGGTTTGTGGGAGGATTCACTGAGCTAATATGTGCGAGCTTCCATATCTATGCGTTTCCTGTTGATATGCTTTTAATTCTTACAACCTCCCTCAGTGCTATTATTAACCCCATATTACAGAGGAATAAACTGAGGCACAGAGGGGCAAAGTCACCTGCCCAGGGCTGCCCTGGTACAAATTCGGGCAGTGAGACTCTAGGCTGTGCCCTTCATGCCCCCACCCCTCCCTGCCCCACCAGTGCCCAGTGCCTGGGGGCTCCAGCCATAGTAGCATAGCATTTTAAGGATTCATGATTCTAAGATCCCCAAATTCCACGACCCTATCACTCTGGGATTTTTCGATTCACTCCTAGAGGCTACCAGTTCCCAGTTCTTTAGGCTTCATGATGCTTTTCTTTGATGAGGCTCGGATTTGAGGATCATTAAGGCACCAGAAGTCTGGAGCTTGCAGGGATGCAGGTGTGGGGGGTGGTGGGGATCTGCCCTCTCCCCAGCGCTGAGCTGCCCTCGGACCCTGCCCCTTGCCCAGCCTGTCCTTACCCGGATCTTGATCTCTGGATTCTCCAGGTAGAGGTCCCTCTCCGCCAGCAGGTAGCTGTTGGCAGCTGGCTCCACGAGCAGGCCCCGCACCTTGATGAGGTTGGACTCCGTGAGGCAGTCACAGTACTTCTCATAGAGGATGCGAAGAGGAATGCTCTTCTCTGCAGGGGGGAGAAAGGAGGGCGCTCACAATGCAGAATCACCCCTCCACCTCTCCTCTTGCAACTCCAGCAGGCACAGAGAGGGGAAGGAATGTGCCTGAGGTCACACAGCGGAGGAATGGCTGGGTGGATCCCAGAACTCCCAACTGTGTCCAGGGAGGAGCTGGAGAGTGGACGCAGAACAATGGGTAGAGGATGCACTTGGGCTCCCACAGACCTGGGTTCTAATCCTGCCTTTGCCTCTTCTGACCCTGCGCCAGCCACCCCACTTCCCAGGTCCTGGATGTTTGGATCTGTGTGGCACAGGCGCACATAAGGCTGTGAGAGGATTCGCTGAGCGAGTGTCCCGAACAGCCTGGTGCGTGCAGGACCCAGGGTGTGTGAGCCACACAGACTCTTCATCCTGGGGAGCATCGGAGTCGACATCTGCTCCTGCACCTGGCCCTGCACCTCACACGGCGGTCTCCAACTTCACCTTCATGACAACCCTAAAAGGCTTGTACTTGTATTACCACCCAACTTACAGATGAGAAAACTGAGGCTCAGGCAGGTGAAATAGCATTGTCACACAGCTGCTATGGGCTGTGCAGGCATCTAAGCTAATAATCCAGATCTTAGAGGCCAACAGCATGACCCACACTCACTAAAGAATGCCTCTCAGGGACAGAAGGTCACTTCCCTCCACGAGGCTCGTAAGAGTGTACCCACTGCACAGATGAAGAATCACCTCTGCCAGTAAGTGCTCAGATTGGGAGACTTGGCCTCTGGCCCTGCCTGGCCACTCACCGGCTGTGTGAGCCAGGGGAGATGACCTCCCCTTTCTGTTCCCGAGATTTTACCACCTGCTGGACAGAGCTAAGACCAAGGGTCACTGCAGATCACAAGCTGCGCAGTGATGAGGGGACAAGGAAGAGGCTGGCAGGACCAAACCCACCACCAAAGGGTGGTTTTACCCCCATGTTTCTGAAAAGAGCACTGAGGCTGCAGGGCCTTAGTCGTTTAGCATTTTAAGGATTCATGTAGTTCAGCATTTACGGAAACAGACTGGGGGTCTGTTTGTAGGAGGCAGGAAGGAACAGTACATAAATACAAGTAGCTGTGTGCAGTGGCTCATGCCTGTAATCCCAGCACTTCAGGAGGCTGAGGCAGGAGGATTGCTTGAGCCCAGGGGTTTGAGGCCAGCCTGGGCAACAGAGTGAGACCCTGTCTCAAGAAGAAGAAAAAAAAGAAGAAGAAAATACAAGCAAAATCATGCATATTCAATTCTGGCCAGATACAGTGATGTGCTGTGGACTGAATTTCAGGCCCGCGCCTACTGCTGAAGAGGGAGATTGGCAAGGCTTAGGATGCCAGAGGCAAATTAGCACCCTCGGAGACTCTCCCCAGGAGGTCGCCTGAAGGACTGATTGAGACCCGAGGAGACAGTCAGTTTCTCACTGTGGGATTCAAAGTTCAGGCTTTGACCGTGAACACTGGTGGTCCGAATCCCCCTCTTTGGAAAACGCTGCCCTGGCCTACCCAGCCCTTTGACTTTTCATTCCCCGGGGTGATCTGCTCCAACCTCCGATCAGATGACATAAGCTAGGGAAGAAAACCAAACTTTTGTGCCAAAAAGGACAAAAGAAAGTGAGAATTAGCAGGTCAGGACCTGGTGGTGCAGAGTGGAAACTCTAGCTCAGCAGGAAAGAAGGAAAACATTGTCCTCCAGGAGCTTGGAGGATGTGGCCCAACTGTTGACTCTTCTTGGAGGTGGAGGCCAGGGCAGGGCCGGACCTTTGAAAGTCTCTGTCCACAGGCCAGTGGCCATGGCCTTGGCCTTGGGCCAGATGCTAGAGGAAACATGTGTGGTCGGGTCTCAATCGTTCCTTAGACAATTTGCCCTGTTCTAGAAGGTTACTCTGGGGACAGTCACAGAGGCCACATTGGCTACATTTATATGACCCACCTGGAGGGATGAGGGAGGAGAGAGCATGCAAGTGGGAGGCAGGAAGGGGAAGAGAGAGAGGCAGCATAAAAAGGAGGCAGGGGGTGGGGGCAACTGGATTCCTTTCAGCTGTCCAGGGCCTGGCTTCCTGTCCACCAGCACATGGAAATTCCCCAGATCTTATCATCAAAGAATAACAAGCAACTCAACCATGGTATGGGGGCTTGGAGGGAACCCATCCCAGCTTGAGCTTAGCTGCAAGGAGGTTCGGACAGGGCGTCTTGGACCAGCCCCACTTTTCAGCCAGAGCCCAACGCCCAGGACCTCTGCCCTTCCCTTCCCTTTCCTTCCTTCCCCCTCCCTGAAGGCTATGCCTCCAGTGAGTCTCCAGCAGGAGGGACCCCCTCTGTGGTGAGCACATTCCTGGGAGGATGAGAAAAGCCAGCCAGCATGCGTGGCTGATGCCACCGCAGATCAATGCTCTGAGTGTCCTGGTGGTGTCTGGGAGGCGAGGGCTGACTCCACAGAGGCCTGGGGGAAAGTGATTTTGGTGCGTCTGGCCCAGGCCTGGAGTTCACCTCATGCCACTCGTTCTAGGAGACTTTCTACCCTTGGAGCAGCTCTGAGCACGAGAAGGAGCTGGTGGGTATGCATTGAACGATGGGACTGCCTCTCCAGTGTCAAGCCCAAGACTTCACCACTGCTCAGTATGTCCATGTAACAAAACTGCAGTGTGCCTCCTAAATGTATACAGACGCACACGTACACACACGCGCGCACGCACACACGTACACACACACGCTCGCGCGCGTGCACACACATGCACAAAGAACAGGGCTGGAGGGGGCTCTTAAAAGAAGAACCCTCCTTCCCCTTTAAGCAAACGGGGAACCCGTAGCCTGGAATGGAGGAGAGGAAGACCCAGGAGCCCACAGCCAGGCAGCAGATGGCAGGAACTAGAACTTGGGTGTTCTTTTGTCCTGAACCCCCACACACCTGTAGAGACGGATCCTGTCCTGGACTCCTGGGGCCTGGATAAGAGGCGAGGGCTGGGTCCTTTCTATACCACCGAGGCGTCAGGGACAAAAGAACCCCCAAGCCCAGGGCTGACACCATTGCCTGGCGCAGCAGGTGTTCAGGAAAGGTCCATGGCTTCTCACCTCCCCACGCTTCTTTGCGCTCATGGTCAGGGAGGAGTGAGGGTCCCGCCACGTGCTGGCGCCACTGTGTACTTTCCAGATACCTCCTGAACACACGTCCTCTCCCTCAGTCCTCACGGCCTGGGGTGCATCAGGTGGGCATGCCATCGCCCTGTGTAACAGGCGAGTGTGACCCAAGGCTCAGAGAGCACATTCACCACACCCAGGGTGGTGCATTCAGAGGGCAGCAGAGCCGAGATTCAGAGCCTGGCCTTGCTGGCTTCAGAAAATGTCTTTCGACAGCTTCAGTGTTGGGCTCTGCCCTAGTGCCAAGAAGCTCTGCCCTCTGAGGGCCTGGCCCCTGCTGAGAGCTCTGCCCAGGGCCTGACAGTGGGTGTGCCCAGGGGGTGCAGCTCCAGGAGTGCCCACAGTGGGTCCAAGACAGAAAAACCAGGAGGCAGCAACTGTCAACATTGCAGACGCCCCGCTCACAACACAGACCTGCTTTCTAGGAGGGCAAAAGCTGTGCCCCAGACGCCAGCCCGTGGGCGCCAAGGGTCCAGGCCTGGTCACAGAGGAGAGGGACGATCACTGATTTGACAGGCAGGAGTCCAGGGAGAGGAGATGGGAAACACACTCTAAACACAAGCCATGCCCCACCAGGGGGCTCTCCAGCATCTCCAGGTGTGACCACACTGAATCCAGGCTTGAGTGCCTACTGTGTGAACACTCTCCTACCCCCAATGGTCCCGTACTGTGGATCGTGACCCCCCAGGAGCCCCATGGGGACGCTAAGGTGCAGGGGGGTAGCTATTTGGTCCGGTGACACAGTGAGACACTGCCTTACTTGGTCCCGCTGCCCCGTGGAGGATGGCCAGTGCCTCACTCCACAGCTCCCAAGTCCTCTCCTAGCCTGAAGAGCCCTCTGCCCGCCTCACACCTGCAGGGCTCCAAATGGCAGAAGGGGGGATGGGGCTGCTGGGTTGTTGGGGAGAGCGGCTGTGGGTGGAGCCCTGGGCTGGATTCCTGGGCTATGTGACCTCAGTGAGCACCGCTCCTCTGAGGGCCTCAGGCTTATTTTTAGAAAGATAATCAGACACAGTGACAAAGCCAGACAGTGAAAGGGACCCAGGGGACAACCACTGTGCAGGCCTCTGCACGGGCAGCCTGGTGACAAAGGCTTGGCCCAGGGCCGAGTTGGGTGGTCTAATGATACCATTTCACAGCGAAGGGGATTTGCCTAACAGGGCGACTAGACTGGCGCTGGGGACACTGGAGAGGGACAATCAAGTCCAGGAAGAAAGCACTTCTCCCTGCAGAGGCCTGGATGCTCCTGCCTACGGCTCGCTGAGCTGCTCTGCCCAACACAGCAGCCTCTGGCTGCATGTGTCTATCTAACTTTAAACAAAATTAAAACTTTAGTTTTGGCGGGGTGCGGTGGCTCAGGCCTGTAGTCCCAGCACTTTGGTGGATCACTTGAGGCCGGGAATCGTGACCAGCCTGGCCAGCATAGTGAAACCCCATCTCTACTCAAAATACAATAATTAGCCGGCATGGTGGTGTGTGCCTGTAATCCCAGCTACTCAGGAGGCGGAGGTTGCAGTGAGCCAAGATCGTGCCACTGCACTCCAGCCTGGGCGACAGAGCAAGACCCCATCTCAAAAACAAACAAACAAACAAAAACTAGTTCTGCAGTTGCACCAGCCACTTTTCAAGCACGTAGTAGCCATGCGGAGCCCGTGGCCGCCACGCTGGACAGGCAGCGCAGGTGCAGAGCATCTCCATCGCTGCAAGTGCAGCAGGCACTGCCCAGGGCGCTGGTCTAGAGCCTTTGCTCTGAGGCTGAGAGCAATCAGAGGTGCAGGAGAGGTTCTCAAAGGGCACGTGGGGACAGGCTGTTGAGGGACGAGGGGCTGGAGACAGAGGACTTGACTGGGAGAGGGCAGCAGTCAAGGTCTGTGAAAGCAGTCAGGGGTCACAGGACATGAGGTGAAACCAAACAGGACAGCTGCTGAGAGGACAGGCTCAGATCTCAGGCCCGTCACTCCCCAACTGTGTGATTTTTTTTTTTTTTTGAGACAGAGTCTCGCTGTTGCCCAGGCTGGAGTGCAATGGCGTAATGTCGGCTCACTGCAATCTCTGCCTTACGGGTTCCAGCGATTCTCCTGCCTCAGCCTCCTGAGCAGCTGGGATTACAGGTATGCACCACCATGCCCAGCTGATTTTTGTACTTTTAGTAGAGACAGGGTTTCACCATGTTGGCCAGGCTGGTCTTGGACTCCTGACCTCGTGATACGCCCGCCTTGGCCTCCCAAAGTGCTGGGATTATAGTCATGAACCACCGCATCCAGCCCTGTGTGATCTTAAGAAAATTACTTAACCTCTCTGTGCCTCTGACTCCTCATCTGGAAAACCATGATAAAATCCAACCCACACGCTCGCTTAAGTGGGTTGATATTTATAAAGTGCTTAGGACAGGGCCAGCCGCAGAGTCAGCACCATGTAGGTGTCTGTGGAGTGACATCACACGCGCTAAGCGGTCAGGTCACTACCTAGCGTGTTGTCAGTTGGCAGTCAACAAACGCTCCAGGAACACAGGGCCTTACCAGAGAAGGGCTCCAGGGTGAGGTTGAGGAGGTCCTTGGTGCCACACTCAGGCCCCAAGACCCCGTTGTAGCTGACAGTGCGAGCACAGAGCAGGAGGCGGCAGGCATGCTCCTCTGCGGTGTTGTTCGTGATGTAGGCAAAGACATCAAAGTCACTGCCCATGTTCATGCTCTGGCCCACGCGGATCCGCATGGCCATCCCCGCCTCCTCCTTCTCAGCCAGTTTGTTCAGGTGGTTGGCCCTTGTGAAGGCCTCCCTCTCCTCTGAGGACCCTGTAGGGGTTGGGAAGACAGCCTCAATAACAGCTGGAGTAGATCATAGGAGGGGGGCTTGGACAGGGCAAGCTGGCTTCGCAGAGCCCTGATAACTCAGGGCAGCCCTGAAGGAGCCCCTTCTCTACACTTCTGGGCCAAGAGGAGAACACAGTATTTTATTTATTTTCCACTAGCGAACTCCTATACATCCCTCAAGACCCAGCCCCAAATGACCTTCCTCCGGGAAGCCCTCTCTGACCACTCCTTCCCCTGTGTTGTTTTCTGTTTCAAACTTACCTTCTTGAGCTGCTCGAGGGCTAAGGCTGCGATTTCCTTATCCTTATGTCATATCCAGTGCCTACAACAGTGCTTGGTGCATAGTAGGCATGAATACAGTACAACCTTTCTTACCTCCAAGCATTTGCACAGGGATTACTTGTACCGGAAATTCTTTCCCTTCCTGTCTCTGATTGTTCCCTTCCTTATAGATTCCATTTATCTCTCTCCTATGTGCCTTTGATTTTTCCTCCCAGTGTTCTTGGGTGCATTTCTGTTTCTTTAGTGCATATCTAAAGCTCTAGACTTCCAGGGATGGGGAGGGCATCCTTTCCTTCTGTTTTATCCCTTTCAGCTAGAGCATGGTCAGGTGGCCCTGCAAAGTCAGCGAAGGTCAGGCCAAGGCAGGAACTGTGGTTTCTTAATCCCCTCTGTGAGCCCTGCTGTGCTTGGTAGTTGCTTAGAAATTACATATATATCATATTGAATTGGCTGTTGAATGTGCTCAAATTTAATTTTTAAAAATCAAACAAGTCCTTTCCCCTGCAACTGATTTAACATTAGCAGCAGAAAGATGGCTCATCCTCATGTCTGACTGAACTCATGACATTAATTTTGGGTTTATTTTGGCCCACTTCTCTTCCCGTCCACCTTCGTGTTCACTTTCCCAGCTGTATGTCAAATGCTTTAAAAATAAACACTGCAAAATTCGAGGAACCTCTTCTCTGTGGCCTCTCTGGACTTTCAAAACCCTCTAGTACAAATACATCATAACTGAAAAGTGTGGAATTGCCCACCTATGGTTATAGGTCCCGCTGCTGCTAAATACTGTTAATATGCAACCTAATAACGCAGACATTCTTCATTTTTCTAAGATGCGTGCCTCTTCTCTATAATATTTATCCTCTGAAGTTTTGTTAAGAATCAAATCAACCAGCCAGGTGTGGCAGCTCAGCCTGTAATCCCAGCACTTTGGGAGGCTGAGGTGGGCAGATTGCTTGAGCCTAGGAGTTTGAGACCAGCCTTAGCGACATATTGAGACCTTGTCTCTACAAAAAATACAAACAAAAAAAATTAGCTGAGCATAATGGTACATGCATGTAGTCCCAGCTACTAAGGAGGCTGAGGTGTGAGGATCACATGAGTCTAGGAGGCAGAGGTTGAAGTGAACTGAGATCGTGCCACTGCACTCCAGCCTGGGTGACAGAGTAAGATCCTGTCTCAAAAAAAAAAAAAAAAAAGGAAAAGGCGCGGTGGCTCATGCTTGTAATCCCAGCACTTTGGGAGGCTGAGACGGGTGCATCACCTGAGGTTGGGAGTTCAAGACCAGCCTAACCAACATGGAGAAACCCCGTCTCTACAAAAAATACAAAATTAGCCGGGCGTGGTGGTGCATGCCTTTGATCCCAGCTACTCAGGAGGCTGAGGCAGGAGAATCGCTCTAACTGGAGAGGCGGAGGTTGCAGTGAACCGAGATTGTGCCATTGCACTCCAGCCTAAGCAACAAGAGCAAAACCCCATCTCAAAAAAAAAAAAAAAAAAAGAAAGAAAAAGAAAAAAGAGTCAAACCAACTTAAAAACAAGTGTCTTAATAACTGAATTGAACCTTTCTGTGGACTATAAAACTCTTTCCCTAAACGAATAATCCTCTACCACTGCCCCTCGACATGTCTGCTCCTGTTTCCAAGGAATTGCTTAAGAAGGGGTATAGCCTACGTGGCCATTGCGGTATGTAGGCTACCAGTTAAAACACACACACACATACACGAGCCTGCTGGCCTGGGTAAACAGGATGCTTATCTGCAAGGTCATAATAAAGACTGAGAGACAGGGCACCTACCCTCTGGGTATTTGTAGGTGTGGGTGATGTCCTCCCGATCGTCACGGCCCACGCTCTTAGTGCTGATCTTCATTCCGACGACCAGGGAACGGTTGACGGATTTGCGCATGGACCCATCGTCCTGCTGGATCCAGTCCACCACATCGGCATTGACCTCCGCAAAGACAAAAGGCGCATCGTACTTGGTGCTCAGGTCGCCCTCCTTGATGGCCCGAACTGGAACTGGGCCACAGCAGTACGTCCCTGGCAGGGGTGGAAAGGGGAAGAGATGGGCCTGGATGAAGGTTGGGTGGCATCCTCTAAAACCCTCCCCAATTCAGCCACATGTGGCCAGAAACCTCAAGACCACGCAGCCCTCTAACAGAAGGACTCCACTTCTAGGAGGGCACCACTGGGCAAGGGTTCAGAATAGGGGATCTGGAGCACAACTTTTAAGTTTCAAATCCCAACTCAGTTTTTTGGGGGGGTGTGGGGACCAAGTCTCACTCTGTCACTCAGGCTGGATTGCAGTGGCGCGATCTCAGCTCACTGCAACTTCTGCCTCCTGGGTTCAAGCAATTTTCTGCCTCAGCCTCCCAAGTAGCTGGGATTACAGGCACCCGCCACCATGCCCAGCTGATTTTTTGTATTTTTGGTAGAGACGGGGTTTCAGCATCTTGGCCAGGCTGGTCTTGAACTCCTGATCTCGTGATCCACCCACCTCAGCCTCCCAAAGTGCTGGGATTACAGGTGTGAGCCACTGCGCCTGGCACCAGCTCAGCTTCTTATTAGCTGGGTGACTTCGGGCCAGTCACTAACTTCTGGAAGCAGCAGTTTCATGTGGAGATAAGATTTCAACCCACCTAATGAGCATTCATGAATTATAGATGTAAAGCTCTTAGCCTATACTAAATGCTATGCAAGTATCTGATAAATAAAATGGAAACGTATCCCAGGCATCCTAAGGAAATCATGGAGCCAAGGGCAGGTGACATGTTAGCAAGTAGGACATCTGTCTCGTTTCCTGCTCGTACTGAGAGTGGAGCTCAGTGTCCCGCGTGCACCTGACCTCGGGGCGTGTGTGTTCTGCAAGTGCATACGGGTGCCTGCTGTTTACATAAGTGTGGTTGATAACTGCCCCACACTGCCCGCAGACTTCAATGCTGAGCACCGGAGGCTGGAAAGGTACAGTCTAGCAGGTCCACGTGATGGACCATGGTCATGTTCAATAACAATCAAATCACAGAAACCCACCTGCTGGAGGAATCCTAATGCTTTATTGAGAAGTGGATAGAGCTGGGGGAAAAGGCTCCATATAACTGGAGGTCTTAAACCAGGGTCCATGGTTTCCCCCGAGGCACCGCCAACGGAATTCAGGGGTGCATGAACTTGGATGGGGAAAAAGGGCTATCTTTGTTTTCACTACAGCCCCTCCTTCAATTACAAAAGCAGGAAACGAACCGCAGCAGCCTTAGGAGCATGCAGGACTCCTAGGAACCACAGGCGTGGTCATTACGATCTTACAGCTGTCACAGTTGACAGCAGGAAATTCATGTACGCTCGTAAATTCTCTCTACCGCTATATGATGGACTTACTGGTTCCATCACTAGATCTTCTTCTATAAAGAAGCATGGATTATTATATCATAACTTTATTTTTTAAAACTGTGATAACTGTATTTTAATGAAATTGGTTTTCTTTATAACCCTGTGCATTATATTTTATCCATTTAAAAATTCCTTAGAGAGCGTCCATGCGCATCACAAAATTTTGTCTTGGTTGTACTCTCTCTTTTAAACACACAGGTACTATGTGTGTGTGTGTGTGTGTGTACATACACATAGATAACATATATATAATGTTTATATATACATACGTGTGTGTGTTTTATATATGTATGGATATATAGACACACACACATACACACACAAAAACATGCGATTTGAAATCAGTGGAGGCTTGTGTGACTGTTAATGCTGCTTATTTTAGCGTGAGAGGACAGACGCTATTTGGTGTTTTTCTTTGTGTTTCTCTGTATTTCCTGCTTTCCAGAATGCATGTGAATTGCTTTTGAGATGATCAGGAAGTGCGCTATGAAGATGTCAGTGAGGTCCCCCTCCCCGGCGTGGACCCGTCAGTGGTCTCCGGGTGAGCTCCTAGCTCTGCCTCCCTCCAGCTGGGTCACTTTAACTCCCCAAGCCGCGGCTTCCCCATCTGCTAGACGCGGTGGTGCCCGCCCACGCACCTTCGCTCTTCTCCTGGGGCGTTGGGTCCAGGGCCTGCCAGCCCTCGTACCCCGGCTGCAGGTCCGGCCTGGTCATCCACGACTCCACCCAGCAGTGGAAGTTCCTGAGCGGACAGCAGGGGATGAAGCAGAACATGAGCAATATCCACTGCCACGTCCCACAGGCAGCCCACCCACGCAGGTCCCCGAGGCACGCCCGCCTCGTCCCAGACAGTCCAGCGCGTCTCCCCACTGCCCTGCTCTTCCTCCCTCGGGGGCCCAGCTCACAGCACCCCCCCAGCCAGGCGCCCACAGCTACACCTCAGAGCCCTTCTCAACTCCTCTCCCGCTCCTCGCCCCTCTCAGTGGCCCCTCTGACCTCCTGATGTCTTGGCTCCATTGCTTCTTTCCTGTCCGTTCAAAGCTTATCACTCCCGGCTGGGCCACGCCCCAGCCCCCTGCCCCATCTCTGCCCCCGGCCCTCCTGGCAGTTGTCAGTGTCAGCACTGCCCTCTCCCACTCTGAAGCCTGGAGTGACAACCTGTTGCCTTCGGAATCAAGCCTGGGCCCCCCAGTGCGGCAGTCCAGACTCCCCACACACTAGCAGCACGATCCTCCCGAGGCCCCATCGTGTATGTGGTTGACTTTCTCTCCCGCTAGGTCTTGGCTCCTGTTGTCCCTCCCCAAGCCTGCTCAAACACTGCTCAACTTTTAAGGCCCAGTTCCAATGTGATCTCCTCCAAGGAGACCTCCCAGGTGTCCTCTCCATGGGGCCCTTTCTAGTGGGCTCTGACCCCCCCCAGCCCCGCCTCACCATATCATCTCGCTCTTGTCACCCTGGATCTCCCCAAACTCATTGCGGAAGTACTCGATGAGAAGGTTGCTGTTCTGGTCATGGGCCGAGTTGTAGTTGGTCACGACGCGGGTGGGGATGCCCAGGCACCGCAGCACTGTCGGAGGAGTGGAAAGCTGGGTGATGGGATGGGCTGAGGTCCTGAGACGTCCGCCCTGCTCTGGGCCTCCGCCTGCCCATCTGTATTCTAGGGGACACTGTGTACCCACTGTCCAAGTGGGGAGAACATGAGCCAGCCCTTCTTGCCTGGACAATGGCGCCCACCTCTCTGGTCACCCCATGTTCACTCTATCGCCCTCATACCACAGTTGCCAGAAGGAGACTCTAAAATACAAATCAGGGCTGGGCGCGGTGGCTCACGCCTATAATCCCAGCACTTTGGGAGGCTGAGGCAGGCCTGAGGTCAAGAGTTCAAGACCAGCCTGTTCAGCAAGGTGAAACCCTGTCTTTACTAGAAATACAAAAGTTAGCCGGGCGTGTTGGTGCATGCCTGTAATCCCAGCCACTTGGCAGGCTAAGACAGGAGAATTGCTTGAACCTGGGAGGTGGGGGTTGCAGTGAACCGAGACCGTGCCACTGCACTCCAGCCTGGGCGACAGAGCGAGATACTGTCTCAAAATATAATACGATGCAATGCCATACAATACGATATGACATGATACAATACAATACATCTGGTGTTAACACTCCTCAGATCAACTGCCCACGGCTCCCCATGGCCCTTGAAGTCAAGGCCAGAGCCCTGGCCATGGCGCTGGGCCCTCAGGGTCTGGCCCCTGACCCCCTCCTCGCACACGGTGCTCCACCACACTGGCCTCCAGCTGGCTCTGCTCCCTCCAGCCTCAGGGCATTGGTGTCTGCCATCCCCTCTGCCTGGAAGGCTACTGCCAGGCTCAGGTTGCCCATCATTTGCATTCACAGCACGGTGGAGATCGTCTTCCGTTCCACTGTATAGGCATGTGAGGGATTCTTTAATTAGTCCTCCAAGGACAGTGAGGGATCTGTCTTATGTTAGATCCTGGAGCCCGGCACAGGCCTGTCATTGACTATTTTGTCAAACAGGATGAAGGAGTGGAGGAAGGAGAGAGGAGAGGAAAGAGGGAGGGAGGGAAGGAGTGAATGAATGACTGACTCTCCTCCAGATAGGGATTTAGAGTGAGACTCAAACAGTGGGACAGGCAGAGGAGGGGACAGAGCTGCTTCCAGCTGTGCGACCTGGGACCAGTCCCTTCACCTCTTTGGGCCTTGGTTCCATCTCTATGTGCATTAGTGATACCACTGGGGGCGCACCATCATTCCCAATGTAGGAGAACACGGATGCATGTGGCCCTGTAATCAGGTCAAAGCACAGGCCAGAGTCCTTAGACATGTTGGGAGGGCCCTGTGTTCCTGCCAAGGCCCTGTTTGCTGGGAAAGGGGCCGATGTTGCAAAGACACATTAAACAGAGACAGGACATTGACTGGCATCTGCAAGCTGGGCGCAGCTCAGCGGTGGCGGAAGAAGCGCAGGGGAGGGAGGAAAACCCCAGCGTGGATCTTGGCCACACAGCCCGCTGGGTGCTCTGGCAGACGGAATGATGGGTGCTTTTACTTCCTCATTTTTAAAAAGTCCTTTTTATGTATATTGTAAAAGCAACAGATTCACAGAAAAAATATCTAAAAAATGAAGAGAAACAATTACGTTATTATATAATCTGTGGGACTTTTGCTGTACTTTTAGTTTTGATTTAAACTGAATCTGGGGGAAGGGGAAGGGATGTGACCTTTGCCCTGGGCTCAGCATCCATCGGCCAGGGTAAGAGCTTACCGGTTGCCCCTGGATTCCTGCCAGGAGACTGGTGGGAGCTGGGAGGAGGGAGGAAGGAACAGCTATGGCCTCCTCCTCCTGCCTGGTTCCTGTGCCCCTGAGGCCTGGGCAGAGCACAGCTGCAAGGCTGCCCTCAGTGAAGGCTGGTGTCATAACACCAGGTCTTATCCCACCATGCAAGGGGACTGTGTATAGACCACAGGACGGTGGAGGCCTGTCTCTGCTGCCCAGGGAGCCAAGCACCACTCCTGCCCCAAGGATGGTGTCACGGGAGGCCTCATCACAGTCTAACAGGAGGCTGCCCCAGCACCAAAGACACCTGGATCAGAGCCTGACTGTGTTGCTCACGTGCTGTGTGACCTTGGGCAAGACACTCCCCTCTCTGAGCCTCCATTTCCTCCTCAGTAAGAGAAGCTAAGAATAGCAACTTGTGGGGATTTGTGGTGATTCAGAGAGAGGCTGTGGGTGTGCGCAGAGCCTCGCCTGCCCATTCCCAGAGCCAGCACTGAGACGGCGCTGGGGAACAACACAGTGTGTCACGGTGCCCGTTACAGCAGACGTCACCCATCAGTGCTGGCTGACTCACGGACGTTGAGGAAGTACAGTGAGGGATCTGCCCTAGAACGCCGGAATCCCAGGCTCCCCTGAAAACCCCCCGGCCCCAGCCTAACCGGAGCTGGAGACTGTGCTAAGTGATCTCTCCCTGGTACAAAGAGCTTCCTGTGAATGAGATCATTCGCCACTGTCTCCATTTCACAGATGAGGAAACTGAGGCTTGGAGGCATCAAATCTCTTGCCCAAGTCCACCCAGGGGTTAGAGGCAGAGCTGGATTCAAACCCAGGCAATCCAGCTCCAGAGTTCATGGCCCAATTCGCCACTGGCTCCGCACATGAACTCCACGGCCACGGTGCTCGGAGAGTCCTTTTCTTGGCCAGGTTTTCCCCAGCTCCATCCCACACGGCCTGAGAAGAGGCTACAGGGACCGGGACACAGCCCTGGTCTTGCGGAGTGGGCAGCCCGGGGCAGGGCCTGCTGCTGAACCTTCAGGCAGCCACAGCCCAGGGTGACAAAGGTTTCTGCAGGTGAACCTGGGGACCCCGGCCTTGGATGGTGGGGACTCTCTAGGAAAACCCATGGGCTTCTTTGAAAAGACGTGTTTTAGGCCTCTCAGAGGGAAGTTTCTGGGATGAGGGAGTTACCACAGGAAAAAGGAATTCAGCAGTCACAGGGAACGGGCAGTCCCAGGCAGAGAGGCAGGGGTCAGAAGGCAAGGACAGCGAGCCGAGAACCTCAGTTAGGCCGCCCCGACCCAGCCTGCTGCTGTGGAGGACGTGCTGGGAGCCTCCCGGGCACCCTTTCCTGGGCCTTAGCACTGGTTTTGGAATCAGAAAAGCCAGGAACCCCAGACCAGGCTTTTAGATTTCCTGAGCCTGGTAATAATAATAGTAATGACGATAAGTGACATCGTCACATACGTATTTTCTATCATGCACCCAAAATCATTTTAAGCACGTTCCACATTTATTTATTTAGAGATGGGGTCGTGCTGTGTCACCCAGGCTGGAGTACAGTGGTGCAATCATAACTCACTGCAGCCTCAACCTCCTGGGCTCAAGTGATCCTCCTGCCTCAGCCTCCCAAAAAGCTAAGATTACTGGGGCACCACTATCACGCTCAGCTATCTCACACAATATATATTAACTCATTTAATCCTCATAACCATCCCGGGATAAAGTTATTATTGTCATGCCCATTTTACATATGATGGAACTGTGGTTCAGGGGAGTTAAGTGATTTACCAAAGGACACACAGCGGGTAAGAAGCAAAACTAGGATTTGAACCCAAGCCTCGACTCCAGAGTCTATTTTTTTTTTTTTTTTTGATAGAGGCTCTTGCTCTGTTGCCCAGGCTGGAGTGCAATGGCACGATCATAGCTCATTGCAGCCAGCCTCCTGGGCTCAAGGGATCCTCCTGCCTCAGCCTCCTGAGTAGCCAAGACTACAGGCACCCACAACTATGCCTGCCAACTTTTATTTTATTTTATTTTATTTTGTAGAGACAAGGTATCACTGTATTGTCCAGGCTGGTCTCAAACTCCTGGCCTCAAGCGATCGTCCGGTCTCCAGAGTCTACATTCTCAGCCAGCGTGTGATGCCAACCCATTCTCGTCAACACCATCACAGCCTGGGAACAGTGGCCAACATTTTCTGGCCTTACGTTTTTAAGATTTTTGTTTTAGATTGGTTTTACTTTTTTGGTTTGAAATTGCTTTACCTTCCCCCTCTGCGTTTTAGAACATGCTTTCTTTCTTGACACTGAGATTACTGCTATGCTCCAGTTCTTACTGGCTGAGATTTGCTGAGAGCAACACTGGGCCAGGTTCTGTGCTGAGCAGCCTCATGTCACACCCACTCTAGGAGGTAGGTCTTGTTGTCCCCGTTTTCCAGATGGGGAAACTGAGGTTCAGAAATAATTCATTTGCTCAAGGACACAGAGCGAGTGGTGGGAGGGTGGGGATTTTTAACTCAGGTGTGCCTGGCTCCAGTGCCCAAGTTCTCAGCCCATGCAGTTTCCCAATGATAGCCTTGATCCTAGCAACCGCCGGAGGGATGGCTATTGGATAAAGGACCAGAGAGGGTGGCCACAGGCTCTAGGCCACACAGCGCATTGATAGTGTTGGTGGCAGGGGCAGGACCAGGGCAGGGATGTCCTGATTCCTACTCCGGTGCTCTTTGTGCCCTTCCAGGGCTCACGACCCACATCCCAGAGTGCAGCTCACCTGTGCAGGCCACGGCAGCGAAGACCCAGCACTGGCCGTACTTGACGCGCTGGCAGCCGTGGTTCCTCCAGCGCCGCAGGATGGCCACGCTTCCGATCCAGAACATGGGGCTGACGCCATCGCCGTAGCTGTTGTCCCAGCGTCCCAACAGCACACCCTGGTCATCGTTGCAATTGACCTACGACCAGTAGGGCAGCAATGGGGACCGAGCCTGGGATGGGGTGACGGCTGTGCCGCCCAGGTGAGCCTGAGTACAGCAGGGGGTGAGAGGTGGGGAGGGGAGCTCCAGTGTGAGGAAAGAGCAGGTGCAAAGGGGCCACGGTGTGTGGCAGACCGCGGTGTGCGGCAGACGGTGGGGGCTGGAGCTAGGGGACAGCAGGGAGATGGGGAAGGAGGAGGTGGGGCAGGTTCAAGGTCTTGAACACAATGCTGGGATGTGACTCTGTCTGTTCTGTGAGGACAGGATGGTTCGGGAGTGACACAGTGTGATCTAAGCTTTACAAAGACCCCCTTGTGTCCCCCACCCCAGATTATGTGTTCCCCTGAACTCCCATTACCTCGAGAATATAATCAGCCTCCTGACCACGATCCACGAGGCCGTCTGGTCTTGCCCCTGCCCTCCTCTGCGGCTTCCCCTGCACCCGCCGGCCCTGCTCACTCCGCTCCAGGCACACTGGAGGCCCCTCCTTCCTCAAACCCGCCAAAGTCGCTCCCTCTGCAGGGCCTTTGCACAGTTGTGCCCTCTGCCTGGGTTGCCCTTCTCCTGGGTACCACCTTAGGGAGCCCCCCAGCCCCTCCCTGAGCCTGGGCCCTGCGGTCCGACGCTCTCACACCCCAGGTTCCTTCGGAGCGTGCACCATCATTAATGACTGCCTGCTCGTTCACGGGGGATTTTGGTTAGTGTCAGTCCCCTCCCCACTATCCCCTGAAACACAGTCTCCATGAAGTTAGAGGCCACACAGGACTTGTTCTCGACTTCTCCCCAGTGCCTAGGACACAGGTGGTACTTGATAAATATTTGCTGGAGAAATGAGTAAATTAATTGCTCATAGCATCACCCTCATCTGTGAAAATCCTGTCTTTCCAAAATAAGGTCTCTTCCTTGAGACTTACCCATCTCCTGGGTACCCCCACCGCCCCCAGCACAGTGGATGGCCTGTGTCTGCACTGTGGGGGAGGGGCTTGTGGGAGCCCCCTGTGGGCCCTGCCACTCACTCACCATGCCGCTCACCACCCGGCCTATGTAGATGGGGCTGCTGCGGCGGGAGCAGTCGCGGCCAGCGTCTTTCATAAACTTGGGGTTGACATCCAGAAGCATCAGGCAGATGTCCAGGATCCCATCTTCAAACTGTGTTAGAGGAAACAAGAGGAGAAACAGGGAGCTGGAAAGCCACCTCCTCCAGGGAGCCTTCCTTGAAGCTTTCAGCAGCTGTTTCCTGCTCTGTCCCACACAGCAGACTGGGAGGCTCCAGCTGAGTCTCCCAAATCTCCCTGGTGGCAGCTTCTCATGGCCCAGGAGGGAATGGAGTGGGACAATGACTGGGTGAGCTGTGAATGTGTGACAAGGGGGTGACAGTCTTCATCAAGGGCCTGGATGGGGAGATCTGGGAATCCGGAGCAGAGCCCATGGAGTGGGCAGCCCAATGTCTCCGGGGCCCCTGGGGACACTCTGCCTGGGCTCACTGCACCAGGGCCCTTGCACGTGCTATTTCCTCTGCTCGGAATGCTCTTCCTGCCACTTTCTGCAGGGCTCACACCTTCTCATCCTTGCCATTCAAATGTCATCTTTCTCAAAAGCAGGACACCTTCTTGTCACCTTCCATTGGACCACCCGCCTTCAGGGGCCCTTCTGTCTGCTCTCTTCCCCCCTTCTCTGTGGTCCTTTCCTGGTCCAGATCTCCCTCCAAGCTGCACAGTAGCCTTCTGTGGTGTGAACCATCTGTGGCTCCCTATTGCCATCAGCCTGATGTTCGGGGCTGTTCACACTCTGGACACTGCTGGCTTCTCCAGCCTCATCTCTTGGGACTCCTTCACACACAAGGTATGCCCCAAGCTACAACCTACCTCTCAGGCACGACATAAACTTTCCCACCTCTGAGCTCTTGCATAGTTCCTTTGGCCTAGTATACCATGCACACACCTCCTTGCTTGGCAAACTCCTACTTGTTCCTCAAAGCCCAGCTCAAATGTTCCCTACTTCAAGAAGACACCCCCCCGACACCCATAGGCTATTATTCCTTCCCTTCTCTGGGTCTTGTCTTCCTGGACTGTGATCACCTCCAGAAGCTTTGCAAGGGCCATGTCCCACGGCCCAGCACAAGCCCGGATACAAAACAGGACCTTGGGAAATATAGGAAGAATTTGGCTTTGTTCTCTTTCTCAAGAGAGAATAAAAAGCCTGGAAAGATAATAGCCAATTCACTTTCTGATGTATTTTATGCATCACGGTCATACTACCGTTTCATTTACATCCCACAGCAGGCTACAGGGTTGCTGGGCAGAGAGTTTTGCAATTATCATCACAATATTCAGGTGAGAAAACTTTGGTCAGAGCCTGAGATTATACAGGGAAGACTTCCCTATGGTTTCAGGGCAGGATCCTCTAGCCCTGAACATTGAACCTGATGCGGAGGCTGCTGGGGGAAGCCTCAGGGTGAACCCCACCCCAGGAGGCCAGTACCTCCTAACACACCAGGAGGCTGAGTGGCCAGGGGTGCAATGGTTCTTGCTTCGTGAGTTTTTCCAGCAGAGTCTCAAGAATTTTTACAGGTCACTGGATGATAAATGAAATACATCATCACCGGTTTAGAGAACCAGCCCAGGCTGGCCGGCTGGAGAGGGAGAAACCATGTGAAACAGAGATGAGCCATCAGCTGAGGCCGGCCATGCCCAGCCCAGACAGCATGCATGGCTGACCCATAGATTTGTGAGAAATAATAAGTGATTGTTGTTTTTAGCCCCTAAATTTCAGGCTTATTTGTTGTGGGAAGTAGAAAAGTTCCTTTTTTAAAGTTTCCTTTCTTGTTAAAGAATAAATCATGAGTGTGCTGATAACTCTTTGTTAAGCCCCATCCTATGTAACTGTTAAACATGCCATGCTTACATGCACGTAGTACACTCTATGTGCTTGTAATTTTACCAAGATATCTGTGCTGGACATGCTCACAGGCATGTCCCAGCTCTCCATGGCTTTTACCTGTTTAGAAAAGTTTTAAGTCGTTAGCCAATCGGGTTCTAGTTTAAATTGTGAGGTCTGGCTCCAGCCAACGGAGATCAGACACAGCAGTAAGGACAAATCTAAATGCATAAGGGATAAATGTATCTGTTTTCCTTTGTTCATTGTACTCTCGTGGCAAGATGGCTAATGACAGTACCGGTCCTACAGTCCGGGAAATAAAAATTGCATTGCTAAAAGATCCTTTGTCTCAGTGCTGATTTTTCTTTGCGGCGCCAAACATCTATTTCCCACATTTGTTATGCAGCAGTAGCTAACAGATACAACCAGATTGGCAGTTTGCAGAGTATGGTTACTGGACAAGCAACATCAGCATCAACTGGGAGCTTGTTTGAAAAGCAAATTCTCAGCTCCCACCCAGTGTTTTAACACCCTCCCGGTGATCCTGAGAACCACTGATCTGGGTGAGGGTTTAACGCCCCTTCTTAGCACATGCCTAGCACATAGTGAGTGCCCTCGAGTGCTGCCTATTATTTCAATACTTGACCTTTACTGTTCCCTCTTCCCCCTCCCAGGATACCAACCAACTTCACAGCTCCCAAAGGCTCTCCTAGTTCTTTCCCCACCTTAAATCCAGGGCCGCCGCCTGTGCTGTGTGACCTCGGGCCAGCCTTGGCCCTCTCTGAACCTTCAGCCATTTCAGGGCCTTTGCATCCACGACAGCATGAGGTGGGTGACTCTGACTCACTCCCACCTGTGCAACTTTGGCTGCCCCCAGACACACAGGACCTGAGATGGTTGGGAGAGACAGGGTGTGGGCTTACCTGCCCAAAGTTCCAAGGTACACTCTTGATGAACTTGGCCGAGCCCTGGTAGATGAAGCCCTGCTGGGTGAGGACGTACTCCTGTCGCTCCTCTTCCGAGTCCAGGTACACAGCGTCCACTGCAGGCAGGTAGAGTGGGGTCTCAGCTCTGGGTCTGGTGAGGCCCAAGGTCCCTGCAAACCTGATGGTCAAGTATGCCAACTCCCTGGGTCAAGCCAGGGTCTCAGGGATCCATCCTTCTTTTAATTAGAAAAAGTAACCACTAATGAATAATCCCGCATCAATGAGGTAATGTGCTATCGGTTAGTGACAACTAAGGCTGCCATTTCTCTGACACTCAGCACGTGCCAGGACCTGTGATAAATGTGTTATTACATTTAATCTCCAGAAGAGTCTGATGAGGAAGGGATCCTCGAAAGCCTCATTTTAAAGATGGGAAAACTAAGGCTCAGGAATATTTTATAGCTGGCAAAACTGAGACTAGAGATGGAGGAGCACTGGGCCAGGAGTCAGGAAACTCCTGATCCTCATTTGCTGTGTGACCCTGGGCAAGCTACTTCGCCTTCTCTGCCCACCTTAACACCTCACTGTGTTAGCACAAAATGCAGATCTGAAAGGTGCTTTGGAAACTAAAGTCCTGAGTAGCATGAGGGAAGAGCCTGATTCAAGGTAAAGAGAGCTCAGTAGCAGAGGGGACGGCCAAGAAAGGGTTCCTGCAGCTCAGCAGAGGTGGGGTCCTGTCCGGCTTGAGGGAGTCACAGAGGGCTCCCTGGAGGAGGTGACATCTGAATGTCATCTTGAAAAATGATTAAGGTTTAGAGACTTGGAACCTGGAGGGTGGCATTCTAAGCAGAGGACCAGAAAGCACAAAGCCTTGGCTGCTGGAAAATGCAGGGCATTTAGTTGTCTGTGGCCAGTGAGGGGAGAAGAGGGGCTGAGGAAGTTGGGGCCAGATGGTAGGGGCCCAAAGGTCAGACTGGCTTTACTGACTTCTTCACCAATGAAGAAGCTGAGGGCAAGAAGGAGCACTCTGGAGCTCCATTATGACTTTGGTGAGCCCTGGGCCCTCTTGGCTTCATGCATTCCTTCCTCCATTAGAAAAAAAGTAACTGAATTTTATGACTGCCTTGGTTAATGACAGCGATCTCAATATTACATATTAGAAACTATTGTTCAACTTAAATGTTCATTTTTTTCTTGTGATTTTAAAATCAATTAAAACATGTTCACGGGCCCCTAAAACTTTCTCGGGCCCCAGGCACTGTGCCTTCTGGGTCTAATGGGGAAGCTGGCCCGGGAAGGGAGCAGCTGCCGGACCCTCTGACCCCTGGGCTTTGTCATGCCCATCTGCAGCGGCCAGCAGCGCACTTTCATCACAGTGAGGAGAAACGGGAAAGAGGCCAAATCTCTTGTGTATTCTGCTCTTTGGCTCTGGAAACTTCTATAAAAGTTAACCTTGAAGTCAATGAACTATAATGGCTCTGCAGCAGCCGGGGGATGTGGGATAAAGAGTGAAAGAGAAAGGAGAACCCACAGTGTTTCAACATTAGAATGAGTGTCAGCATTTGTTGACTTGTCCGCACCCCAGCTCGGGATGCCAAGACTGTGACGTCCCCAGCTCATGTCTCCATCCGGTAAAGGTGGGGGCCCTGGGGACGTGTAGCCTTGCACACAACTGGCACTCGATCATATTGGTCTTGGAGCTGAGGTACAGGAGGGTCCCATTTTCCAGGCAGACCTTTCCCACCCACCAGACCAATTTCCTCCCGCAGCAGCCTGAGTTCCTCCCACTCCGGTCCAACTTCCTGCTTCTGCATCACTAGCTCCATGGCTCCCGCCCTGGGATGTGGGTCACTTTAGTCACTGTGCCACTTGGCTGACCGCCACTCCAACCCGCTGGGTGAGGCCAAGTAGGAGGAAGGGAGCCATCCCCCAGACACGCTCCCCATTCCCTGAACTCTGAAACCCTGTGGCATGGACAAGGGTGGGGACGTCGGCAAGTTCCTGTCTCGTTGGCAAAGCTGCCAACTAGTTGCGACCCTCTGCAGATGGACTGAAATTCAAACCAAGCCTACGGTGGGGTCTAGAAAGGCTACTTCTGTCCCAAGAAATTATTTCATTGGCCACAGGGTATGAAGCAAGGGTGCTCATTGACACACCATCCCTGCGCGTGATGAACCTCTGGGCACAACCTCGTGGCCATCAGTGGGGGCTAGACCATCCACGTGGGCAAGACACAGGGCACTCGAGGCCCTTAGAAAGAATGAGCAGATGTGGCCGGGCGCGGTGGCTCACACCTGTAATCCCAGCACTTTGGGAGGTTGAGGCGGGCGGATCACCTGAGGCCAGGAATTCGAGACCAGCCTGGCCAGCATGGCGAAACTCTGTCTCTACTAAAAATTAGCGGGGCATGTTGGCGCATGCATGTAGTCCCAGCTCCTTGGGAGGCTGAGGCAGCATAATCACTTGAACCTGGGAGGTAGAGGTTGCAGTGAGCCAAGATCTTGCCAGTGCACTCCAGCCTGGGTGACAGAGTAAGCCTCGGTCTCAAAAGAAAAGAAAAGAAAAGGAATGAATGAGCAGATGTGTGCAGACCAATGTGGAGAGATCCTCACGCTGTCTCTCGAGGGGAGGAAACCAAGATGTAGGCTGATGTCCACAGCGGGGTCCTTTTATGTTTGAGATAGAGACACAGAGATACCTGTAAAATATGGCAATTTCTCCAGGCACATACAGACTGACCTAAGGAGGTGAGTCCCCACAAAATGTCTAACAATGGTGTCCCCCAAGGAGGAGGGGTCAAGGTGGGGGCCATTTCTCTGTAGGCTTGAAGCTCTCCCCTCCCCTCCCTTCCCCATTCCTCTCTTCCCCTCCTCTCCCCTCCCATTTTATTGAGACAGAGTCTTTCTCTGTCGCCTAAGCTGGAGTGCAGTGGCACAATCCCAACCAACTGCAGCCTCGACTTCCTGGGCTCAAGCAATCCTCCCACCTTAGCCTCCTGAGCAGTTGGGACTACAGGTTGTCATCGTGTCCAGTTAATTTTTGTATTTTTTATAGAGATGGTGGGTTTTTGCCATGTTGGCCAGGCTGGTCTTGAACTCCTGGGCTCAAGTGATTCCCCCGCCTCAGCCTCCCAAAGTGCTGGGGTTACAGGCGTGAGCCACTGCGCCTGGCCTTGAAGCTTTTCTAAAGAGAATGCTGTCAGGGCTTACTACTATTGGAAATAAAAATCAAAATATGGAAAGGAGAAAAATTGAAAAGCTTTCTGCTCAAATATAAAGTGCCTCAAAATAGAGAAGGAAAAAAAAATAAAGCAGTGGCCCAGCAGGAAGGCGGCTGTCTAACAGCCAGGAGCCAGGCTCCCTGCCCTTTTGAGGAGGGACACCGATTCCCAGGAGGGTCCTGGCCCACGAGGTTTCTCTCCCTGCTTTGTTTCATTAGAGCAGGAAGGAAACAGACCATTAGAACCGACTGCCTTGCTAGTTAGATGGGAAAATCGAGGCCTGGGGAGGTGACTGACAACCCCTGGCTCCTCCCCCTGGCTCAAGTCAGTTTCCGCTGTTTCAAACTCTCCCCTCTCACTTTCTAGTTTTGTCCAAGGTTGTCCACTTATTTATTGAAAGAGGTTCCAAAGACCACTTAACTTCTCCAAGCCTGCGTTTCCTGTGTGTGAAGTGGGGACGCTGACATCTCCCCGTTGGGATTGTTGAGAGGCCCAACAAAATGGTGCGTAAGGAGGCAGCTGGGCAGTCAAACTGCTCCTACTCACCCCCCGCACCCCAGCCCGCCCTCCAACCTCACCTCCCCGTTTCCCT